AATGTTGATGAAATTTTGTGAAATAAATGCTTAATTTTAATATACTGTAAAGATTTCATGGACCTGATGAGCTACAATATGGCCTCCTTCAGAATAACATCATGTAAATTGAGGTAATTTGACTTTTTGTCAACTCCGTCAGATGTCAACTCCATCAGAGTTTTTGTGATTCTTTCAGTGAAATTGTTGACAAATCTCACTTAAATGTGCAGTTAACTCATTTTAATGTATTTTACATAAATTGCATTACTTCATATGTATCAAGTATTTCTTTTTGCTCACTAGTTTGTCACCACCTTCAGTTCTGTGTCAACTCCGTCATGTACTGTCAACTCCGTCAGATGGCCTTTTTGTTGTTTTTTGTTTTAAATAATATTTTTTTGTTTCTTGAGAAGCATTTGTCTGTAAAAATGAGTAAAACATCACTAATAGGTTCATTAAAAGATTATTTTATATTTATTTTTGTCAGATGGTGATGAGAACGTTCTGGATCAGGTCCATTAAAAATGTAATTTTCAAAATTGTTGCAACTAGGAGCCTGCACCCTAGGATCTTTACATTTCCAAAATATTATTTGTCATATTTGAATACTTGAGGAATCATTTTTAAAAATTTGGGAAAATTGAAACCCATTTTGTCCCTATCCTCAAGAATCACTGAAATCCATTAAAAAATACCATAGACAGTTTTTATAAATTATTGTTACGGACGCCGCCATGTTGTTTACGCTGCAATGCATTCTGGGTGTAGGACGTATGCTTGGTGTTAGGGAGGCTAGCTCTGTTGAGCCCGAGTGAGTTAAAATAAAATAAAACGGAGAAATGAAGATGCGGGAGGAAAAAAAAAATCATATCTGTAGGTGAGAAATATGACATACTTTTTAAAGTAATAGGGCAGCTCTGAAGTTACAACATATTTAGTTGTGGAGACGATGCGTAACTGCGAGTTGGTGAAGCTAAATAAATAGATGGAAGTGAAATGCTACTGAAGTAAGCCAGCAATATTTAATAATATAAAGTTAGTTTTTGTTCAGTCCGGTGGACATGTTTGGATTGAACGTCGTGTTAAAGTTAATTTCTTTCGTCCAATCAGGTGTGGTAAGAAAGGTGCAGGTACTATTTTATTTATTTAGCTCCGCCCACTGCAAGAGTTTATTTCATTTTTTTTTTTAATTGTTAGGTTTTTTTTCTCCACTTTTTGGCTTTTCCCACACACCGCCTTGCCGCCGTCTGACTCGGCCCCGTCCCCTACAGGTCTTTTATTTTTTTGTTTTATTTATTCTTTGCTCCAATAATGTCGAAATTTCGAGATACTATAATGAGATTCTTTTATTATTTGTATTTTTTTAACCAGAGTGGCGGAAACAGGCTTCTATAGAAACGGGCTTCCATAGTAATCAATGCAAGTTTATTTTTTCATTTTTTGTGAATTTAATTATTTTCCACTCTTTGGCTCCGTCTCTTTCAAGAGTTTCTATTTTTTCCCCTCTTTTGTGGCTCCGCCTCCTCCAGCATGTCTGACGTGGCTCCGCCCCCTGTATTTTTTTGGCTCCGCCCCCTGCAGGTGTATTCTCTCCCCATGGTCCCAGCCTCAGTCTCACCTGTCGGCCTGCAGCCATGCTGGATGAGGCAGTCGGACTGGGCGCTGTGACCGTATTGGGAGTTCTGGAGCAAGGTAAGAACCAGGAACTAGGTCCAGTTCAGCTTCGCTCTGCTGTATTGATATCCTACTGGTTTACGTGGAAACCGCTCAGCTGACTGTAAATCTGAAGCCTTGGTGATAAACAGTTTATTTGTCTGAAGTTTTTATGAATTAATTTGCATCCAGTGTTGACAGAGCGGACCTCCAATGTTCCCCCAGTCCGGTCGGAACCGACCCGGAAAATAAACCCGTATGAAAATCAGCCTGATGAAGGCGAGCATGTTGACGGTGTGTGTGTGTGTGTGTGTGTGTGCGTGCGTGCGCGCAGCTTATTTTTCCCTGCAGGTCATTTATGCCAGGAGGAAGTATTCGGTGTCTCCGCCCTGCATCAGCGGGCCGCCGGAGTTCGAGCGGATCTTCAGAGCCCAGTCAGTACCTCTGTGTGTGTGTGTGAACCAGGTTTTTATATCCTTGTGGGGACCCCCTACTTTGTGGGGTTGTGGGGACCTCTGCTCCTTGTGTGGACAAATTCTAGTCCCCCCGAGGGGAAACGCTGTTTTTGGGTTAGGCTGTAGAAAATCAGTGGAAATCGGTGTAAAATCCCCACAATGTCAAATTTATTCATAGAATAGTTTTGAAAACAGTTTTGAAACTGCACCAAAGTGCTGTACAAAACGATAACATAATAGTATAAGTTCATGAAAAAAGAAAGAGGAAAGAGAAAATACTACTAATAAAAATGATAATTAAATGATTATCATTTTTACCAGGCTGCTTGGTAAAAATGATACCAAGCAGCCTGGTATGTCTCTCATAGAATATTAGTGGATACAGTTTCAATCTCATGTAACATACAGGGTGAAGCAGAATGAGTCACCATATTTTTTTCAGCATCTTCTCTGAGTGGGCGGGGCATTAGTGATGTCATAAATCTACCACACCAATGTGAAGCAATGCTCCATTACGATGCACATAAAAAATTTGGAGCAGATTGAATGATAAATCGGGGAGATGCACTTGTTGGAACCATGTAGGGGGCATCCTTGAGCCAAATTCCAATATAATACTATTGGCCTCTTTAGAGGTTCAGAAAGGTCATACATATCCAGTCATACATATCCAGTTTTGTGCAAATCGGATGATGTATGTGTGATTTAGAGACGACCGTATGCTTATGGCAAGGGCTTGAAATTCGCCATTCAGCCACCCCTAAACGCTTCAGCCAGCAGTCAGCATTGACAGACTTCATCATCAGATGATTTTATGTCAGTTGGCACAGGATTAAACCCATATGAATCAAAAAGTAAAATTAAGACAACCAAAAAACGAGTGACTTCCTGTTGGAAGCAGGCGGGGCTTAAGTGATGTCATCAGTTGACCATGTGAATATGATGAGGGCTAGTCTATAATGAGACATGAGTCTGATGCAGCTGTGACCTTGTGTGTGGAAGTTATTGAACCTTGATGTTTCGTGGCGAATATTTAAAGTTTGACACTTAGTCACGCCCACATGCTTTGATGTACAAAAAATTATTTGATAACTTTTGACCTTCAATGTCTCAAGACTCTGCTCAGTGTTTCTGAAGTCTGTATGTCAAAAGCTGTATGACAAGTTCGATCAGATACGACATCTATAACAAAGTGGCTTTGATCTAAAATGGCCGACTTCCTGTTGGGTTTGGACCATGGCTCCAAGAGACTTTTTTGTATGTCCTGACAAGATACACGTGTACCAAATTTCATTAAAAAGGCTGATCATTTAAAGTTGAACCCGATCGATCAAAATCCCTAGGACGAGTTTGGTCAAATGCAGAGGCCTATAAAAAAAATCAGATTTATATCACTAAGCTGCACATAATAACCGCATTTCATCATATTTATATTTATTGACACTCCTGTGAAACAAGAAGTAGAAAATGGCAAAAATAATTTAAAAATAACTGGGGTCTTTTTTAACATTAACTGAAATTTATCATAACAAATCAAAGTTCTTATTATGATGAGAATTTTTTTCATGATAAATGCCGGGTTGCTGTAATTTCTCCACCTTTAATGTGACCTTTGACCTTTACATCAACAGGATTCATTTGGTTTTATAACATCTAGACCTTTAATGACAAAACACGGTTCTGGAGGAAAAATGGACCGAGATCTGAGAGACTAATAATAATAATAAAAATAATAATAATAACAGGTGTTATTATTTTAATAAATAAAATAAACAAAAATTATATTAATAATAAAAAGAAAATAACAGTAAAATCGCTAAAATTAAAAATAATTTAAAAACTAATTACTATAACAATACACTAATCAAGAATAATATTTTTCTGGCTGAGGGGTTTTATATGAACATTTGACTGTAAGTGACTGTTTGTATGAACTGAACATTATTTATTCAGGTATTTGACAAACTGTTTCTTTCATTAATAATGTTTGTATTGATCACACTTTGCTAAAATCAACATGTGTTTCTAAATATAAAAAAATTAAGCAAAAAAGCATAAAAAGTTTCTGAAAATATTCACCTGTCATTTCATGCATCAGCTCTTCAAAACCCTCTTAATATTTCTGATCAACAGTGATTTACAAATTATACTGCTTTGGTTTTTAAAATATTGTCTGTTTACTTTATTATTGAAGCAATTAAAACAACAGATGACTTGAGAAATAAATATTTTCAGTGTTTATTTGAAAACAAGAAGTGGCCTCCATCTTTGTCCGTAATGGCAGGGGGTTTGGACAACAGAAGCTGAACAGAGTGCAACAGTGACACCTGCTTGCCGCCCCATGTAACAACTACATTTACATTTGTTAGAAAACCGTCTATAAAAATAAAAATAAATGTTTTCTTCTAGAAAGTATTTTGACAATAATGTACTCCTTTTTTTAATCTGCAAAGCGCCGTGGTAGTTTTGTTCCCACCTGCAGGAAGTTGGTCTCTGTTGGCGGTTAGAGGCTCTCTGGCGCCCACTGGTGGTGACTTTCTGTCATTGTTTCAGAGCGAATTGTTCAGAGTACTTCCCCATTTTCATCACAATCCTGTGGACGTCCGGAGTGTTCTTCAGCCAAGGTGAGCCGCTGGCCGCCAGAACCTGGCCTATCCACCGGTTCTGACTTCTCTAAGAGTGTGTGTGTGTGTGTGTGTGTGTGTTGCAGGCCTGTCCAGCCTCTGCGGTCTGCTCTACCTTTATGGACGGCTGTGTTACTTCTGGGGCTACGCCGAGTCGGCTCAGGGACGGTAGGCGCTTCGGGTCGGGTTTGGCGGTTCTGGTTCTACATCAGAACTTTAATATTTAATCACCCGAGATTAAAATATTTAGCTGCTAAACTTACAACCAAGGTTGTTATAGATAATGAAATAAACTGAACTTGAAATTTTTTTAACTGAAATAAACAAACAGTTCTAATGGGGGATAAACTAAGACATACTGGAGCTACAGACTTAATAAAACTTGTTTTTGTGTTTGTGAACCTATTTATTAGCTTTTCAAACTGATGTGAAATTATTTTTTGCCCCACACGGTTTACGTTGTTTGTTGGCAAATTGTGGCGCTCCTGGTTGTGTTGAAGTTCTGCTCTGCTCTCTTCCAGTTTGGCTCCGCTGTACTTCAGCGCTCGGGTTCTCTGGGTTCTGATCGGGTTCTCGGCTGTCGGCGTCTTCCTGTCGTTCTGCCGGGTTTACATGGAGTTGGACCTGCTGCAGGCGCTTGGCCACGCCCTGTTCTGACCCGGAGAGGACGAGGTTCTGCTGTGCATTTCTGTTCTGGTTCGGAAAGCGTTTCCCAACTGCTGTGAAAATAAAACCGGGTCATTAAACAGAACCGCGCTGTTTCTTCATTCACGACTCGCTTTTTTCTCTGAGAACTTCAACTGTTATAGCCGAGTTCTGGTCGGTTCTGATAGAACCTCCACTCTTTAGATAAAAACCGGGAATTGGACTCAGAAAACGTTGGCATGAAGCATTTAGAAGAAAAACTGTCTATTTCTGCTCAACTTCACTAAACTTCCTGAAATCCTGGTTAGGGTTACCATGGTAACAGCTATTTCTCCGGCCAAAAAACTAAACATAAAATTAAACGATAAAATGAGGCAGAATAAAACTATCAATGAATAAAGAGCTTCATTAAAATAATATTTAGTTAAGATGATTATGTTTATAATGAAAAGTCACCTGTGGCTCCTAGAACTGCAATCTGGGACCGTAAACTGCCCCCGTGCCTGAAGTTGGACCCCACTGGTAAACAGGTGAATCATTGGTTGGTTCTGCAGGTGTAGAAGCTTAAAACTGCACTTCTGACATTTGGCCAACAGATGGCGCCAAAGAAACGACTTTCAGAAAGCTTTTAAATTTTAGTTATGACGTCACACACCGATTGGTTCAGTAGATGCTGCTGAACCAATCAGGAGCAGCTCTGGGCCATGAGTAAGCTTCAGGAAAATGAATGTCTTCAGGTTTTCATCTAAAACTGAAACATCAGGATGAAAATCTAGAGGAAAGAAACAGCAGCAACACGAGGAGCCAACGCTCAGCAGGTCATCTGAAGGGCAAAGGTCGTTCCTTTGAAGACGAATACGTTCAACATTTGGACAGGAAGACAGTTTGACTCACTGTGTACACTCCGTGTACGGAGCAGCTATTGTGCCAAAATTAATACTCTTGTCCAACGATGTCTACTTCCTTAAAACAGGAAAATAAATCCCATCAGAAGCCATTGATCTGTTTGCTGATAGGCTGACGGTAATTTAGCAACCAGAACTGGTAACTGAACAGATGATGAGGAGGAGAGTACTAGTTTGCATTTGGAGAGGCTGGACATCAACTGGACTGTCTTCTTCCTCCATTAGCATGGATAGCATTAGCATTAGATATGGTGGTGTTAGCTTTGTACAGGCTAACAACTACCACGAATAGGCTGGATCTACCAATAGCATTAGATAGGCTAATGTTAGCCTTAGCTCAGTGGTGTCCAAAGTGGGTCCTGGAGGCCTGGCATCCTGCATGTTTTAGGATGCAGGATGCCTCCTAAAACAGGCCTGGTGGTCGTAACCTTTTCAGCTTGTCGATGTTCTCCTTAGGCCTCTAACGAGCCGTCATTTGATCCAGGTGAGCCAAACCAGTGAGAGAACTAAAACATGCAGGATGCCGGGCCTCCAGGACCCACTTTGGACACCCCTGCCTTAGCTGGTGCAGGTAGACATGTGACTTTGACGGCCTCATTAGTGACCTCTACTGGCCTGTCGGTGACAAACCACATTAAAACTTTACCCTCAGCAGAAGCAGAAAAAAAATTTGAATTTAGTAAAAATTCATCCAGTTCTGAACAAAAACATTTCCACTCAGAATAACTTCCTCCTCCTGGGATCAACAAACTCAATTTTGACGTCCGACACCGATGACTTCGCTGGTTTCAATAGACGTTTAATTCCAACATTCAATTAAACCATCAGTTATAATCACATAATTAATGAAATGTAACCTACGACCTTTACAGGTGAGAGTACAGATCAGTTTAGTTACCGTCAACTAGTAGCTGAGGTTTATTCTGTTCACAATGAACCTTCATCATCAGACAGGACGGGATGGGCGGGACCAGAGAGAGTGGGTGGAGCCACATGTAGGAGGAGTCAAAGTGGGAGGAGCCACATGGGTGAGTGGGATGACTGGAGGGGGCAAAAGAAGGACGAAGTAGGGCTGCAGGTTTAGTCGCTGAAGGTTCGATGTAAACCAGGGGTCCCCAAAGTGGGTCCTGGAGGCCCGGCATCCTGCATGTTTTATTCTCTCCCTGGTAGTAACAACCTTTTCAGCTCGTCAATGTTCTTCTTAGACCTCTAATGAACCATCATTTGATCCAGGTGAGCTAAACCAGGGAGAGACTAAAACATGCAGGATGCCGGGCCTCCAGGACCCACTTTGGGGACCACTGGTGTAAACAAAACTAAAAACATTCCAGTAGTTCCAAGATGGCTGCCCTGTTTCACTTCCTGTATGAAGCTGCTGTCCAGTGGAAAAAGAGGAAGAGTCATGACAGGAGCTGCTGGTGTTTGGTAAAACGGGGGTTGGCTCTCCACCCGGGCAGAGGGGCAGCCTATGGTCTACACAAAAACATAATCCTTACTTTTTTTGCACAAAACAATTCTTAAGTCATTTAAATTCTGTGAGCTTTTTTAGGGCACTGTCACTTTAAATCCAAATAAGCTGCTGCTGGCCACGCCCCAACTCAAAGTTTACCCTCAGCTGAAAATGGCTGTAAAGCGCCATAGATCTTTGAAAAGCAGAAGTAGAGCCTCCTACACAATCAACAAGAGGGTGAAATATTGTTAAACTTTCTTTTGGTTTTAGCTCATATTTTATTAGCTTATTTATACGAGTCAAATTTCTTAATAGGTTGTTTTGATGTCGTGTCTTTGTAACCTGCATAATATAAAAAAATATAAAATAAAAACCAGCTGGTATCGGGATGGAACTCTGTTCTGGTTGCTAGGTAACGGGGCGGGACTTCTCTGGGGTTGCTCGGTAACAGGGCAGTGCCTGTTGATTGGCTCATTTTCAAGACACTAAAAAACCTAAAATTATTGTAAAAAAAAAAAAAAAAAAAAAGTTTTTTTTTTTTAAGTTTTTGGTGGTTTTTAGAAAAAGCAGAAAAAAAAAAGGAAGAAAAAAAACGTGAAAATGTGAATCTTCCCATTTACGGACAGACTCCATTTTGTTTCTGTGGCGTCAAAAGAGGAGGAGGAAGAGGAATTTGATCCCCAAACAGTTTCACATTCATTACACTGCTGGATCGGTTTCAGAACCGCCGGTCCGGTTCAGCCCAGTCCGGTCCGGGTTGGCAGAACCTTGAAAACATCCAAACCATCCACAGCAGCTGGACTGGACAGGAAACATCTGATTCCAGAAAGGCACAGAAGGAGAACTGGTTTCCATGGCGATAAGGTGAGTGCAGGTGGTTCTGGTTGGGTGGACCTGCTGGATCCCTGAGGAGGAATCTCTGATTGACCTCCAATAGTTCATCTATTAATCCAATAAAAACTGGATCTGGTTCACGACCTCGACTCGATCCTCATAGGAAGAAGAGATGCTCATAGAAAGTTGAGTGGAAGGAAAAAATACAAGACAAACTGAGGAGTTTGGAGGAGACTGGACTGCAGCTGAGGTCAGAGGTCAGAGGGGTCCAGTGAGAAGGAGATGGCCGCTCCTGGTGGGCGGAGCCTCTTCTCACATTAATGTCATGCCAATATGCCAAATACATCGGGATCGTTTGGTTAGAGGAAATATTTATAAAGATTTACATTAAAACTTTTAAATTCAGATTCTTTAAGGAATGTTAATCTAGTTTATTACAAAGGTAGAAAATATTTTTATACTATGAAACATTAAAAACAACTTATGAGTCCTTTTATCATCTTAGAAAAATCCATAATAAAAATAAGTTCTATGTTTCTCACATATATTTTACAATATATTTTCTCTGAGTGTCTGTTCTGCTCGTCCAGGGCCGCTCCTCTGGTGGGCGGGGCCTGCAACTAGGGGCGGGGTCTACATCTGGTGGGCGGGGCCTACAGCGGGCACCGGCCGCAGCCGCACTCCAGGGCCGTCTCCAGCTCCTCTGAGTACGACGACCCGTCCGTGCAGCGGAACGCCACCTTCCGCCGGCGCGTCTTGGTGACGCCGCAGCAGACGCCGGGCGGCGCCGCCGCCTGGCAGGACCGGGGACACGCCACGCGCGGCACCCTGCTGGTGGAGGTGCAGGTCCGCATGGCCTGGTGCCGCTTCAGCTGCTCCCGCAGCGTCTCGCCCTGGCAGCGCAGCTCTGCAGCAGGGGGAGGGGCAGGCGATGAGGCGTGGGGTCAGAGGTCGGCAGGAGGGGGGGAACCAGAGGTTGGTGGGGCGCCGGGCTTACCTGTGTTGCAGGCGGGTCCGGTGAAGCCTGGCTCGCAGTGGCAGACCAGAACCCCGGACTCGGAGGTCCGACACTCTCCGTGGGCACAGCTGCAGGCGGGGCGGTCGCAGGACAGGCCCTGGTAGCCGTCAGAGCAGCGGCAGCTGTAGGCCTGCGCCGTGGCAACGCAGGTACCATGGACACACCTGGAGAGCCAGGTTAGAGTCAGCTGCTAACTGCTGATTTAAAGGGCCGGTGTCGTGTTTTCCAGGCTACCTTCAGTTGTTATAAAAATGGTAAATGTATCAAAAATGGCTTAAAAGAAATGTTACTTCCTGTTTTAACATCTTCAAATTGGGCCTCTGTGTTTTTAAAAACTCTTCTTGAAGCTCCGCCTCCAGGAAGTCATCCAACATGGTTCCTCTGTTAGCCCTTTAATGTTTTTACCAGTGTTGCTCTGAGCAGCAGCTCAGCTGGCGCTAATTGCTGCTGGCTAGTCTGTAGGAGCTGAGTAGGGGAGGCGGGGCTACGGCCACCCAGCCGTTTAACAGTTGAATGGTTGCCGTTAAGATTAAAGGAACAAGTATGAAGGAAGCAAAACAAAACTCCAGGTTTGTTTCTGATGAAGGAGTCATGATAAAACATGACACCGGCCCTTTAAGACAGAAAGGATGCTAAATATTCTGCCCAAACTTTTCCTCAGTCATGTTTCGATTTAGAAGAAACCGACCGGACCGGACCGGCTCACCTTATGTTCTGACAGGGGTCGCTGGCTGCCGTCTCGTCACACAGCGCCCCCATCCGGCCCGGAGGGCAGCTGCAGGTGACCCCGGTCTGACCTCCCTCCCTGCAGGCTCCAGCTGTGCACACACTGCAGGAGTGGCACCCGACCAGAACCGCCGGGCCCTGGACAAACACTTCAGTTAACTTTATTTATAGAGCAACAATTCACACCT